CAACGGCTCACATGAGGAAGATTTCCCAGCGGAAAAGTTTCCCCCAGGCCCATTAGGCTGAGTCTTCTGAGACCCGCTTTATACTTTCGTAATGAACCCAGTCTGGCAGATACTCGTCAAACGTCAAACCACAAGTAGTCTCAGATCTGCTCAAGTCTCCAGTTATCGTGAAGTGATATCTGAAACAGTAACTCGTTGCCAATAGACGAGGAGAGTGGAGGGAAGATAGACAAGGGAAAAGGTAGAAGAAGCAATCAAAGACCACACGATGATAGCCCAACCAATCCCACTCCTTCTCCGGGCTTCTTCTCCCTCCACGTCATCAATCAATAATAGTAACAAGTCTGATAGTTCTCATCACACAGAAGTGCCACATGGCACTCTTATCTCGTGAAGAACATGAAGACAACAGCAGAATACAGTGATGACATCAACCTCAGGTGAGTACCCGATCCCAGTCATCCACAGATCCCGATCTCCCTCCTTGTCGCAAGCCGTCACCTCATGTAGACAGCGTGGTCAATGCCACGTCAGCAGAAACCAGTGGCATATGCCACATCATCAATGAAGACAGGTGGCAGCGCCACATCATCATCACAATGTAGACAGGTGGCAGCGCTACATCAGCATCACAATGTAGACAAGTGGTCTGCGCCACATCAGCAATGTAGACAAGTGGCCTGGGCCACATCAGCCTTGAAGACAGGTGGCAGCGCCACATCAGCAATGCCCGGGCTGCCACATCAGCAATGGCAGCGCCACATCATCATCACAATGTAGACAGGTGGCAGCGCCACATCAGCATCACAATGTAGACAAGTGGTCTGCGCCACATCAGCAATGTAAACAAGTGGCCTGGGCCACATCAGCCTTGAAGACAGGTGGCAGCGCCACATCAGCAATGCCCGGCGCACAATGCAGAATGCGCCAGCATGCCGTCACAGTCCGCGTCGTCGTCCACAGTGCCTGCGTCCAGCCAGCGTCTCGCCAAGTAGGTCTGGGCTATCCGACAGTTGACTTTGTTAACTGTACTTCGTCCAGGCCCTGAATCTTTACACAGGATTTATTTTCCCCCGTTTTGGCCTGGGCTGAGGGCGGCCAAGTAGGCCCTCAAATTTCCACGAGACATATGGCATGGGTTATGGCACTTTAAGTATTATATATATTATTGTATAATATTATATTATGTAAGGAAAATGAGCAACAGCAAAAGACAGAATTCCAGATTGCAAAGTCACATTGAATGCCACATAGTTGTAAGCTGTCCAGAAAGCAGAAAAGGCACTGAAATCACACTGAAAGAGAACCAAAGCAGCGAACTCAATTGTCAATGAGAGCTCTCTTTCGCCACCACCAACAATGTGCACGAAGCTCGGTGCTCAGCGCCCAGACTAGTATCATACAGCTACTGTGCTAGCCTAGCAAAATGACAAAGCAACCAGTTGACGTCAGCAGCTGCAACCGAAGTACATGCAGATGTCGACCATGCAGACCTCCGCCAGGACCAGGCACGTGCTCTCACACCACCCTTCCTCTCACTCTCTCTTACACTCTCCCTTGTCTTCCCCCACACGCTCCTTGAACCAAGGACCACTGCCTCTCCCCACCGATCGTCCCTCGGGACCGAGCCTGGCTATGGCGGCTGGGCTCTGGTGCTGCTTGCAAGCAGCGACCAACATCACCCCGCGCCCGTGCGCATGGTTGTGCACCTGCGCTATTGCCAGCACCAAGCGCTCCATGTAGCAGCGCTGCCGCGTCAAAGCCAAGTGCCCAACCTAACTTCAACCAAATCTCTCCTATCTCGGCTCAATTGAAGTTGTTCTCATCATCCTTTTAACACTTGGAGGCAGTGCTGTTTGACGATATATATACAGTATGGTAAGGGCGATGACAAAACATTTTGCGAAACACCCCAGCCATCAGTTGGATCCCATCTTTGCAATGTACCTCTAGCGGACGCTGCCCAGCTCTGCAAAATGCCCCGGCAGTTGCTAAGTTTTCGCGCACACAAAAAAAGCAAAACAAAAAAAAAAAGTGTATATTTCCATGTTGTAGCGGTAGATTCATTCGATTTTGCACATCCTATCCATGGAAGTACTCTCTCTCTCTCTCTCTCTCTCTCTCTCTCTCTCTCTCTCTCTCTCTCTCTCTCTCTGTATATATATATATATATATATATTTACTAGTCGCCCATGCTCACACACTCGAGCACGCGGCGGGTGTGGTGTATATTTTAATATGCTGGCGGAAGATTCATTCGTTTTTGCTTATTCCATCAATGGAAGTACCGTGACGGTCTCGGGGTTGGAGACTTATCTGTTGGCAGGTGC